AGAATAGAATAGAATAGAATAGAATAGAATAGAATAGAATAGAATAGAATAACAGCTGGAAGGGACCTTGGAGGTCTTCTAGTCCAGCCTCCTGCTCAGACAGGAAACCTTATACCACTTGTGGGCAGTCCCCCAATCTATCCCGTACTATTATTATTGGGTGGGGGGGGAGTGTTTTCTTGCTCCCTCCCCATTTACTTTCCCACCCTCCCAATTTCCCCCCCCCGTCCCAAACGTGGCTCTTTCAAGAGCATTTGAGATGCGGGGGGGGGAAAGCCCCCTGGGCAGCAAAGGAGGGAGGGCAGCCCCTTCAGTCAGGGGCTGTAGCAAAATAAATAAATAAATCATTTCCTTTCTGAATCTTCTCAAACAAATAAATAAATGCAGACACAGGAGCAGTCTGTGACTTGATCACAACTGCCTGCGCCGTTTCTCTTCTGTGGCGGGCCCAGGTTGTGTGTGTGTGTGTGTGTGTGTGTGTGAAAAGTAGACACGCGCACACGCGCGCATGCACACACACACACACACACACACACACACACACGCTTGTAGGAAAGGAAACTAAGTTTGCAAGGGAACAAACACAAACCCTACAAAAAAGTTAAAAGTAACTTAGCTGTCAAAGGATCCAAAACCATAAAAGACAGACCAGAAATAAAAGTTAAATAAGCAAAAAAAATAATAAGAGAAGACCTGTCTGATCTTGATGAAAACAAACCACCGGGGCCTGATGGATCACATCCCAGAGTTTTAAAGGAGCTGGCAGAGGTCATCTCAGAACCGCTGCACCGTATATTTCAAAAAGCACCAGGGAACTCCCAGAGGACTGGAAAAGAGCTGATGTGGTTCCCAGCTTCAAATAAGGAAAAAAAGGTGCAGAGAAGAGCAACCAGGATGCTGAGGGGACTGGAGGCTAAAACATACAACGAACGGTTGAAGGAACTGGGCTTGGCTAGTAAAGAGAAGGACCAGGGGAGACAGGATAGCGGTCTTCCAATATTTAAGGGGCTGCCACAGGGAGGAGGAGGGGGTCAAGCCATTTTCCAAGGCGCCTGAAGGCCAGACAAGGAATAATGGATGGAAACTGATCAAAGAGAGATTCAACCTGGAAACAAGGAGAAACTTTCTGACAGTGAGAACAATCAACCAACGGAACAGAAATTTGCCTTCGGAAGTTGTGGGAGCGTCATCACTTGAGACTTTCAAGAGGAGACTGGACTGCCCTTTGTCAGAAATGGTGTAGGGTCTCCCACTTGGGCGGGGGGTTGGACTAGATGACCTACAAGGTCCCTTCCAACTCTGATGATCTGTATCTGTATCTGTAATTGAGCTGCCCTGCATAATTTTCCCAACTTCTGCTTTTTGCAAGTAAATAGGTGCAAAACACACTCCCTTCCTCACACCCACTTGCACTTCCTAGGGGTTTTTTTTTTCACACACTCCAGGGGGACCAAAAAGCAGAATTGAAATGTTTTGCTTTCGATCGACCAGATGTGTCTCGCCTCCCACCAACCCAGAACTGGAGCTACACCAGAGACCTGTTACTCGTCCAAAACTTTTGTTTGTGCGAATTGCACGGCCAAAGGGCACATTTATTTTATTTTTTTTGCTCAGGCGTTGAGAAGTAGCCCTGAGCCCCCCAGGAGAGGGGGGGGGCTGCAATAAACTGGCTTGGGTGTTTGCTCCCCCTGCCCCCCAATTCTGTTTTTACCAGCAAGGATCTCATTTTCTCCTGCGTTTGCTTCTCTCTGCTTTGCTCTTGTGCTCTTGGTGGGCCTCGTCCTTTGCTGAGGCTACTCCAAGGATACTCCTCCTCCTAGTGCCAAAACAGCTGACAGGGGTGGAGACAGCTGGAAGTGGCTTGACCAGATGCCAGGAGTAAGGGAAGCTGGGAAGGTCAAAATACTAGTTGCAACTGAGCCTCCTTCCCCCCACCCCTGCCCCAATCCAAAGGGGGAGCAGAGGAAGGCGAGGGGGAATCTCCTCCCCTTGGTACCACATTTAAAGACCCCCTGCCCCAATTCATTGGCTGAGGCCCAGAGGTTGTGGGGGGGGGGGCTCCATCGTTGAAGGTTTTCAAGAAGAGTCCAGAATGGCCCAGGGCAGGGAGGTCCAAGATTTGCGGACTTTAACTCCCAGAATTCCCTGCCCAGAGCAGGGGTTGTCTCCAAATGTGGCCACTTTAAGACCTGTGGACTTCAACTCCCAGAATAATGCTGGCTGGGGAATTCTGGGAGTTGAAGTCCGCCCATCTTCAGGGGGCCGAGGTTGAGAAACTGAGCCTTTAAGCCATTCTGGGGAACCACGAGGCCTCCCTCCACCTCTTCCACCAGCCCACCTTCTCAGGAGGATGTGAGGTCCCCCCGGGGGGGGGGGGTGTTGGTGTGGGTCACAGCTGAGCCCTGGTTCCTCCCCCTCTGTGCAGAAGTGAAAGCAGTTGGATGCTTCTTCTTGCAGAGTCAGTCGGTGCCCGGATCTTGGAGGAGACGGAGGTGGTGGTATCAGGTAGGCTTCCTCTCTGTGCTGGTGTGGTGCAAGCGAAGCTGAACCTTGCCCAACGAGGACCAAGGAGCTGCGACAGTGAACCCTCATGGTTGGGGGCTAGAGAGGTCCTCTAGCATCTTGGGCACCCCAGAAAAAACTTCCCCAACCAAATCCGGAATCTTCTGCAGTAGAGGTTCTGCCACCAGGAACCTGAGACTTCCCGTCCACTTGGCCACCTTCTTTGTCCAAGTTCTTGGAGCCAACGTCTTTCTTCCTGAGCCTCTGAAGACCACCAGGTCTCTCCTCGGACCCCCTTCTGCTTTCCTTGCAGACATGCCACTCAGCTGGGCCGTGCTGGGCTTCCTCTACACCGGCTCTTTCTTCTACCTCTTGAGCTCTGAGAAGCTGTGGGAGAAGTCGGAGAAAGACCCCTCCAGGTAGGTGGGACATCTTGCAAGGGTGAGGGCTGGAGAACCCAAGGGAGAGTGATCGAGGGGTTGCATTTTCCTCGCAGGCTCTGTCCTTGGGAATGCCTGGTCTTTGTCCAGATGTGGCCCAGCTCCTTCTGCGTGGTGAGTAGACTGAAGAGGAGGGATCAGTGCCTCCCCCTCCAAAGAGCTCATCTAGAACTGAGCAGCGGGCTGGGCTAGAAGACCTCCAAGGTCCCTTCCAGGTCTATTCCTTTCTAACTCATGACGGCCTACGGAAGTTGTGGGTCCTCCATGATTGCAGGATTTCAGGATGAGGTTGGACCACCGTTCTCACCTTTTCTCAGAGAAGGGAGGGGCAAGTCAAATGGACCGTCTGTTTTTGAAATCATCTTCAGGTTCGACGGGGGACAAGGGCTGTGTGTGTTGGATTTGGGGATTAACAGGTGAATCAGACAGTATTATCAGGATAGGAGAGAGAGTGTCAATTTTATTTTTTGCCAATTGAAGGGAATATTTATAGCTCAGGGCTGAACTGGGTGCTCTTTGAGCTTGGCTGTTTTCTTGCAGACGTTTCATGACCCCACTAGGTAGCATCATCAGTGCTTTGGTGCATCAGTGCTTTGATGCTTCTCTTTAGCACTTACTTAGTTGGGTCGTGAAACGTCTGCAAGAAAGCCACAAAGCTCAGAGCGCACCAAGGATCCCTCAGTCCTCCTCCTCCTCCTCCTCCTCCTCCTCCTCTCTACAACCCCCTCCTCCTTTCTAGCACTGATGATGTTACCTAGTTGGGTCATGAAACGTCTTCAAGAAAACTACCCAGCTCAGAGAGCGCCAAGGACCCCGGAATGTTATTTCTTTTTCTATCTTTTGCTCAAAGTTTCTGCCAAGCAAGTATGACTGTGTCATGTCCGAGAAGCCCAAGAACTGGACCATCCATGGATTGTGGTGAGCTGCTCCCACCTGGCTTTCCTATAACCCCAATCCCTCTTCCAACCCTCTTTTGGCCATCATGGCTGCCACCCTGGACACCCTGGGAAATGGAGTTTTCCCGCGGGAAGCTACGAAAGCGATTCCTACGGTTGGGAACATGGCCTTCCACTTTTCTCTCCCCAGGCCCAGCGATGTTCAGAAATGCTGCCCCTATTGGCGTCTCTTCCCTTCCGACCTGACAGTGAGTAAAATTCTCTCCTAAGAGCATCTATAGGTTCATTGTTATTGTAGTCTCGCTCTTTGGGTCCTCTTATCCCAAAACCCAGGATGGGCTTTGCGTGGCGCAGCTTATTCAACAAGAGAAGAGCAACTGAATGTTGACTTAGCACAGAGGTCTCCGAACTTGGCCACGTTAAGACTTGTGGTCTTCAACTCCCAGAATTCCCCTGCCGGCACAGAAGTCTGGGAGTTGAAGTCCACAAACCTTATATTGGCCAAGATTGAATGCCTCTGGCATAGGGTCTCCTGCTCAAGCAGCGGGTTGGACTAGAAGACCTCCAAGGTCCCTCTGTGATTCTGTTATTCCAACACAACCTGTGGCTGATATCTCAAGTCATTTTTTTCTCCTTCTCGCAGAACCTGGTGCCCGAACTGAACCGTCACTGGCCAACTTTCACCAATCTGAGCAACTTCCAGTTTTGGTAATCCCAGTTAGAAGAAGAGAATGACCCTCTGGAGGTCTGGTGGATGGTGGGGGGGGCCGGTGGGGACGCAGAAGAAGCGGCGATGGGACATCGGTCCTTCCATCCAGGGTTTCTTGACCGTTGCCCCTTTAAGAGATGCGGACGTCAACCCCCAGAATGGGGAATTCTGGGAGTTGCAGTCCACACATCTCAAAATTTTGCAACCTTTTTTTGGCTACGATCCTTAGACAAATCCCTGCACTTGTTAAGTGAATCCTGCATTCATTAAGTGAATACAGTTCTCTCGATAGACCAGAGGTCTCCAACCTTGGCAACTTTAAGACTTGTGAACTTCAACTCCCAGAATTCCTCAGCCAGCAAAGCTTCCTCAAAGCTGGCTGAGGAGCTCTGGGAGTTGAAGTCCCTGAGTCTTAAAGCTGTAAGTTCAAATGGCCACTAAACAAACGGTCGTAAGTCAAGGACTACCTCTAGAAATATTCTACACCGGTAGTGGCTAACCTTTTGGGGCTCCTGGGCCAAAAATTGTGTGCGTGCTTGTGCACCCCCACACAAACCTCCTGCGCATGTGCGCGCAATCCCCACCCTGACCCCCTTACCTGCACTGCACCTCCCAGCTGATTTTTGGCTCCTTTGAGGCCTTTTTCGGCCTCCCAGAGGATTGAGGAAAGCTTCTGCAGGCTTTGCAGGCCGAAAAATGGGCCCGTTTTGTTACTTCCGGTATTTCCGGAAATACAGGAAGTGATGAAACAGGCCTATTTTTTGGCCTGCAAAGGTTTTCCTCAAGCCTCTGGGAGGCCGAAAGTCAGCTGTGAGGCACGCACATGCACAGTGAGGTATGTTTGCCTGCGGCTCGTGTGCCAGCACAAATGGCTCTGCGTGCCACCTGTGGCATGTGTGCCATAGGTTCACCATCACAGTTCTCCATGAACCGCAGCGTGATTTGTTTCTCTTCTTCCAGGGAGAAAGAATGGGAAAAACACGGGACTTGCGGTGGCTGCATCGAAACCCTGAATAGTCCGAAGAAATTCTTCGGGGCTGCACTTTTCCTGCACACCAAATACAATATTGACAGGTGACCTGGAATCCCACCTCCCCAAGGGGAGCCCCGACTTTCACGGGACTTTGAAGCAGAAATTTAAAGTGGCTTCTCTAAGGGGAAAAGTGTGGAGTTGCTCCGGAACGAGGTTACCTTGAAATCTGGGTGAACCCAAAGGTGCTTTTTCCAAGAGGCAACTGTGTTCAGAGTATTGTAGTGAAAATTCAGTGCCAGAAAAGTAAACACAGATGGCCGAGGCTTCATTTCACTTCTTTATAAACATATAAAGTGAATTTTACAATACCAGTTGTAGATTTCTCCATCATGAGCAAACTCAGACAGAAGCAGACACGTTACAGGTTCAGAGCAGAACAGCAGCAACCCAGGAGCTCAGAAACAGACCTCAGTTTCACTTTAGTTCAGCAGGCAAGCAAGACACACAGCAGAGGAGAGAAGCCGTTTCACTTTCAATAGACAGACTCAGAGCTCAACAGAGTGGCAGAGCTTAATATAGAGCCACGCCTAGCCTACTTCTAGTTTCAGTTTCCAAACAGTCCTCATTGGCTGACTTAGTTGCTATGGCTATTCACTGGCTGACCTTGTTGCCAAGCTCTAATCCAGTTCATGAATATACTCTGACAAACTGGACTTTCTGGGTTTTTTTTTTCCCCCCCTTGAAGAGGTTTCACTTCTCATCCCAGAAGCTTCTTCAGTTCTGACTGGATGGTGGAGAACAGAAGAAGCTTCTTGGATGAGAAGTGAAACCAAGGAAAAACTAAGCCCAGTTGCCTCTTGAAAAAAAAAACACCTTTGCAACAACCAGGACTTGGATGGTTGCAAATCTCCACAGACAAACCTGGGTTAACCCTAACCCTAATCCCCTCTGCCAATCGGGGGTTCCACCTCTGCCCCTCCATCTCTTAACCCTGAAAGAATAAAGGGTGACTTAACTGAAAATGTGGGTCATGCAAGAGGCCTGGTTCACTCATCCTAGGAAGGAGAAGGTGGCTGGCTGGTTTTAGAAGAACAAGCTGTAAGATTCCAGCCCATCTTGGTTTGTTTAGGAAATCGCGGTTATGCAAAAATAGGAGATTACAGCATATGCCCACCTGGGTTGTGTAGAACCACCAGGACTCAAAATTGTTTTATTTTATTATGAAATTTATTTGCTGCACCTCTCCTGGGCAGGTTACAATATCTAATTCTGCCTTGTTCCTCCCTGGAGTTGAGCTGGACTGCACAAATTTGATTGATAAATAAGATTAAATAATAAATAAGATTAAATGATCAATAAGATCTGACCAAAGGGGCTGCAGGCCGCTGCTTCAGGGAGAAGAGGACTTGGTTCAGCCTAACCAGGAATCTCGGTCTTAAAGAGGATTAACTTGTAAAGTCCAGTTTTAAAATAAATCTCAAATGAAGACAAACTTATTCTGCCTTTCCATTAATTAGCACCGTTGGCTTCCTTTTTTTAAACTGCAGGGCCTTTGAAAAGGCAGAGATTATTCCCTCCTGCCAGCAGAGTTACCAGGTACCTGTTTCCCCCCCCCACTTTCACTTCCCAAGAATTGAGGGTCTGCAGAATATGGCCAAAATACTTGTTTGAATCACTTGGTCCCTAAGTGGATCCAGTTTCCCCTTTAACGTTGTTGGAAACTGCTGGAAAAGTCATAAACCACATTACCTTGAGATTTTGCAAACAGGCTGCGCGCCAAGTTTTGACTATGGGGATACTACAATAGTCCTAAGTATGAGGACGGGTCGTAAGTGCGAGTCACTTTTTTTCCCATGCTGTTGTAACTTCAGTCACTAAACCAGAGGTCTCCAAACTTGGCCAACTTTAAGGCTTGTGGACTTCAACTCCCAGAATTTTGGGAGTCCACAAGTCTTAAAAGTTGAATTTGGGGAGTTGAAGTCCACAAGTCTTCAAGTTGCCAAGTTTGGGGACCCCTGCACTAAACTCACTTAACAACGGCAGCAAGAATGGTCGTAACATGGGGCAAAACTCGCTTAGCAACTGCCGTGCTTAGCAACAGAGGT